CCGAAAGGCATCCCCACTAAGTAGATCGCTCAAGTGTTGCGTTGCCATAAACAAATAACCAAACATACTCATCGTGGATTCGGCTAGACTCACAATTGAGTAGAGAAGTAGTGAGGTACGAGAGCCGACTTATTCGGGACAGACCCACCCGAGAATTTTATGTGGTTTGTCGACAGTCCGAATTCGATTCCGAGTTTCCCAAGAGAGGTATGCTGACGCCTTAACTAAGTATGCTGTATAAACTATAAGCAATCTAAACCAATTTTTGACGAGCTCTAGGGAGGTTTTAATGGAGGTTCTAGGGAGGTTCTAGGGAGTCTCTAGGAGGTTTTAATGGGAAATCTGTCCAGGAAATATCGAGCCCCCCTTTTTTTGCCATTCAGAGTAGTTGTTAGCCTGACCAAATCTACAATGGCTAGTAAAAAGTCTCTCTTAGTATCCAGAAGACGGAAAGAGTTAAAGAAACTAATTCTATTATTCATAATAATTCGCTAAACAGACGTTGTAATTGTAATTTACACTTACATTCATTCGATTCAATGCAGGATTATTCATCTGAAATACAATAATTTGAAATGTTAACATCTTGGAATTTTTTACACTGACATAACACTTCAAGATTAGAGAGTTAAGTTTATTTTGTTCACTACACTTAATTTGAAAATTTTGTTTTTATCATAATAGGTTCTATAAATTTATTTATATTAACTTTCAATTTTACAATTCCTGGTGTAATGGATTTCTGAAATAATATACAGTATTTCAAGGCATTTACTTGAATGGAAATACTGTATTTGAGAAATTAAAACTACACTGTTAGTTCAAAGAATATCTGATATGAAGCACTTTGCTTGCTATTGTTACATTCATGTTTGAATGTATTGTACAGTACTTGTTTTACTTATATTCACTGTAATAAATGCTCTTTGCACAAAGCAATCCCATCTAACACAAAGCTCTTGTATGGTCCTGAAGAGACCTTAAATAACAGGCTTAATGAGAGGAGAGTTATTGTTTTGAATTTCAAGGCGCTGATATATTTAAAATAAGTAAGAATCATACAGAAAATTGATGTCTTTTGTTTCTAAATACGCAAGACATACAATAGAATGAATAATTTGTAATATATTTTTAAGACTCCTGTAAAGGTGAGGCCTAGATTAAGTTATATGACTGTATTGTTGAATTTATTCATTTACTTGTAACGGTTTTATTATACTTACGAAAAGTTGCTGATGACGTGGGTTGATTATCTGAAATAAAAAGTTTAATTTTCAACTGATAAAGAAATTTGTAATAAAAATAATACAGTCGACCCCCCTATAACACTGTTGATTATTCCGTTTTATATGAATTCCATGTTGTACGAGTCACTTAGATTTACAAATACGTGAGCCTTTCACAGCCCGGCATACGTATTTGTAAAATCTAAGTGACTCGTACAACATGGAATTCATATAAAACGGAATAATCAACAGTGTTATAGGGGGG